CAGCCCCCTGGCGGCAAGGAGCCGCTCGCCGCGGGCGCTGCCGGCGCTGCGTCAGAAAGGGCCGAGGGCGCCGGCAGAGCGAGCCGTGCCCCCGCGCGGAGCGGGTGCGAGAGGCCGCTACGGGGCATTGCCGAGACAGGCAGGGAACAGCGCCAGGAGAGGAAACGAAACAGCCCCGGACAGGATGGGGAACACCGCCGGGAGAGGAGAGAGGGCCCCGCCGGGATAGGTCGGGAGCTCGGCTGGGACAAGAAAGGGGACAGCGCAGGGACACCTCAGAGATCGGACGGGAAGAACTCTGTCGCAGGCAGGGGACACGGCCGGACAGGGCATATGGCAACACCGGTGCACTGTCGGGAAGAGAGCAGGGGACATCGGTGGGACAGAGGAGGTGGCAGCGCGGGGACAAGGGTGGGTGACAAAATACCGGGATAAAACAGGGGACCTCATCGGGGCGAGAATTAGGAAAATAATCTGCAGGAGAAGGTAAGTTCCATCATGTCAGGATATTTTTTGAGCATTCGAAGGTAGAATTCCCTTTGAATATGCCGTAACAACACCCCTGGACAGAGGCTTTGTTTTGTTCTGGCTGAACTGTGGCCAGATCTAAGCAGAGGCAGAATCTTCTCGTGCTGAACTACATAGTATACAAAGTTTTACAGCCTTAGATGTTCATTATTCTGTTTTTACCACTTACCTAAATAAATAGCTTACCAAAGAAGATGCTTCACTAGAGGTCATACAACATATTTCTTTTCTCTTAGGATCTAATATTGTCATACTGCTATGGAGTTTTTTGCTGGAGCAAAAAGTATGAAGAAAACAAGATAACTGACAGGGTGATATATGTAATTATGTTCTCTTAACTAATGCAGATTCATTCTACAAGCATAGCCATTGATTTATTATATCCCGATATAGGATAACAGATTTTTTTTATCCTATATCATGCTCGTTTAAGTAAATCAGAACTAAAACTGAGTGCTTTTACCTATAACAAGAAATTTTTCTCATGATCTCTAATACTACTAAATTTTTAAAACATCCGAACACCCACCTAATGCAGTAAAAATTCCCTAGGAGTAGGAGGATGGATAGCTTGTGAGGGGTTTTAGAAGCTGAGGCAAATTTCTATTTTACCTGTCTGAAACTGTCTGAAAAATGCTAAGGGCTGTATTTTTAAATTAATTTATCAGCACACAAATCTACAAATACACTGTAGACTGTACGGTGGATCTCTTGGACTCCAAAGTAATTGCAAGTGTAAATATATCTGAAGAGCTGATATACTGTATGTGGGCTTGATTTATGTTCATCTGCTTGTCATGTGGGAAAGTAATGGTGTCCTGAAAGAAATAAGATGTCC